AATCCAGTATTTGCTAGGCGCCCTCTATCCTTGTATATAAGTGCGCCAGATAAAGCGAAATAATTAATCGGAATTAGAATTATATAGCAGATAGAGAGATTGAAGATATAAACGGACAATTGAGTCAAGCGCGGTAGTATGTAAAGTGCGTGAATCGTTCGTTGTAAATTATAGCGCGTGTTGAAGTTAAGGTGACTGTGGAAATTGAGTGTATTGCAAAGTTGAATTGAGAAAGAATAAACTAGTTTTATTTGAGAAAGGACTTGTATTGCTGAAGTTTTTCGGAAAGTATTTTTACGAGTAATTAACAAACGACCAGAGACTTAACAATATGAATTATTTGTGGAACGCAAGAAGTAAGTTCAAACTTACGAACAATTAATATTTTTAGGCCTAATTACCAAACAAACCTAGAACATTTTTTGGCGAAACATGTATATGGGTGTGTGTATGAATTATTTGTGGAACGCAAGAAGTAAGTTCAAACTTACAAACAATTAATATTTTTAGGCCTAATTATTGAACAAGCGGTTGATATTACCTCAAGTATTTATCAAACAATTATTTGACCGTTTATATTGCTTTCTTTCATATTCATAGCTTTGTATATCCTGGTCAGATTACTTCATATGTTGATAGGGCTAACTTCAGTTGTTATTTGTCAACTACACTATAAATATGCTTAGAATTCTCAGTGATTATGAAAGTAATTATGTATCTAGAAAATAAGAACTTATATTACCACCACCTTTTGTTACGTCTTTGCTGCTCGGTACATTTTATTTTTTAAGTACTTCAGCACTAGTCATCTTATTCTTAGTAATATTCATAACGTTCACTGAATTCTGGGTAATGTTTGAAAATCTAAAATCGCGACTTTATTTTTAATCCGTATTTTCATTATTTTTTAGATATAATTTTTTTGTCTTACTGAAAGAAATATTAATGTTTATTTTGGCTTAGACGAAAACGAAGCAGTCGCCAACCAATGTGACAGTCAAATGTTTCGACTTTTGAATAACACCTGCTATTTGTTAATCTCGTACCCGGAAGTTAAGTGGTCTAAGGCGAATGATATCTGCGTCGAATCTGGTGCAAGATTAGCCACTGCGCAATCTCTCAAGCAAAAAATGGTACTTCAGTCCCTCGTAGAGTCTGCTGACGAAAGTCGATCTTACGTGTTATACTGGGTGGGAGGAGTCAAAGAAGCAGGACTGAAGAACTGGTACTGGATTGATGGACAACCAATTGACGAAATAAGTAAGTATCAAATTTGTAGTTTTGTTATAATTTCATATTATGGTTTCAATTTTTTTTCTCTCTCTCTTTATAAACTACGTCCCAAGTTTAGCAGGAAGGAGTGGTATGTTTCTGCCCATAAAACGTCTCTTAATATACAATCAGTATTTTCCTTACTAAAACCATTAAATAAACCTTAAGATGACTTTATTGTTTCCGAAGTGACCACTCTTGGTTTATCTGGACCTTCAAGAAATATTTTACCATCCAGTAATAATGTCAGAATTATAAGAACTGTGTAGTAAAAGAATTGTTTGTTTGCCGTCCCTAATTTAGCAGTGTAAGGCTAGAGGGAAGGCAGCTTGTCATCACCGCCAACTCTTGGGCTACTCTTTTACCAACGAATAGGGGGTTTGACC